GAGCAGGCCCAAGCTGTCAGTAGGGCATCCCCTGAGGGCTTCCGGATTGGAGAGGGTGCAGGTTGGGCTGAGGGATCTCCACCCCCCTCCCCCAGTGCACGAATTTTGTGCACTGGGCCTCTAGTTATTTATAATTGGTTCTGTGGATGGATGCAATTGGATATGTAAATTAGTTAAGTCATTTACTAGCTATAACTTTAGGTAAGGTACTGGGACCTTCTGAGCTTCCTTTTCCCAATCTGTGAAGTGGGGCTATAACATCGACCTGAAGAGAAGCTGTGCTGATTAAATGAAATACAGGAAGTCCTCGCTTAACATCATTCATAGGTTCTACAACCTGAAGCAGAACGATGTATAATGAAACCAATTTTACCCTAGGCTAATTGATATAAACAAGAGTTAAGTTCATAGGGCATCTCATCAAAGTTGTTACTTAATGTTATTGAGAACCTGCTGTATGCGCATGCTGTTTCTGACACATAGCAGACATCCTATAAGTTCATTTTCCTGTCTTCTTTCCTTCTTCATAAAGAACTAGTTTATGATCCAAGTCCTTCCTCTGTGAATCCGGAGCAGCCAGCACGAACTCAGCGCTGGGGGAGTATGCCAGCGCGCTGACTCTCATCACTGTGCCAGTAAAACGCCATCATATATTAAGAGCATTCCTTCTGAGTTTAAGCATTTCTAAATCCCTTTCCTGAATTGAGAAACCAAGCTGAATCAAGTGTAAAAAGACTATTCTCTGTTTATAAAGGCATCATTCCCCCGTCTTTTCTGGATTGTCATGATCTGTAACTGGACTTGTGTACCCAGCTGGCAGCTGCACCAGCCAGAACCTGAGGTAACCTTAGTGTAGGCCCGATTTTTTTTACTCAGAGCCTACAAATTCTATTTAAAGCACACACACGTACAGAATGCAGATGTGGGAATGAAAGCCAGGCTCTTTGGGGAAGTGAGGCCATGATATTTGACTGTAGTGAGGCCATAAGTGGCCCGTGGGCAGGGGCCTCGCCCAGCCATGGTTGGGGCCCCGACCTCAGGAATGGCTTTGGCCTTTTGACATGGCATAGCAATCACATGGGCAGCCACCACATCTCCCCTTTGGGACAGAAACGTTGCACGATCTGAGCTCAGAGGCTTGAAAGATTTTTTCTGCACTCTGAAGAATGTGTAACAGCATGGATATTCTGGAAAACTAACCCCATGAAGAAGCTGAGGATCAAAACTATGATGGGCAGGGAGGGGAAGTTGAGCTGCTTACACTGAATGGAAAGGAATGCTCCAGTCAAGGAAAGAGCCCCTTCAGAATGTAGTTCTAATGTGTATGCAAAGTGGGAAGGAGATCACTGGGCTGTTACATCATGTAGCCGAAGCTCTTATAGTTCAGCCAGACCCCAAATGAACATTCCTTTTGATGACTAATAAGTCATTCATTCATCCATTCATTCATTCATTCATTTACTGAGAACCTACTATGTAGTAAGTCATATTAGAGGTACTAAGAATACCACGGTAAACAAAAACATTTTTAAAAATTCCTAACTTTATGAAGCTTACATTTTAAAGGGAGAGACTGACGATAAACAATAACAATAATTAAAATATGAATTATACAGGTGACCCTTGAAAGCAGTTTTAATTGTGTGAGTCCACCTATATGCAGATTTTTTTCAATAAATTCTGTAAATGTATTTTCCTTATGATTTTCTTAATAACATTTTCTTTTTCTCTAGCTTAGTATAGCATTTCAATATAGAATATAATATTTATAACAATATGTGTTAATCAACTGTGTAGACAGGGTGAGGCAAAAGTAGTTTTACAGCTATTCATATGGAAAATACAGTTAAATAGTAATACAAGAATAAACTCTGTATTTCGCATACTCACAACTGTAAAACCACTTTTGCCCACTCTATTATCACTAAGGCTTCTGGTCAACAGTAAGCTAGCAGTAGTTGCACTTTGGGGGAGTCAAAAGTTATGCTCAGATTTTCAACTGTGTAGGAGTCAGCCCCTAACCCTGAATTGTTCAAGCATCAACTGTGGAGTGAAAAATGCTCAAGAACAGAAATGAAGCAAGGATGGGAGAATGAACTGTTGGGGGAAAATGGGTGCTGAAATAATGAATAAGGTGGTCAGGAAGGCCTTACTGCGAAGCTGACTTTAATACATATCCAGTCGATGGTTTGGAAGGATACAAACCTAATCTAAAGTATTTCCTTCCAGATTTCCTAGGCTGTTTCTCCATTGTCTTTGGTTTCTGGTTGCTGTAGAGAAAGCTCTAGTGCCTTTCTGAGTCCTGGCCCTTCTCTTGGGACTGTTCTCCACACCCTCTGGGCTGGTGGGAACCTCTGATTCCCCTGCCATTGGGAATGTCTCAGTGACAGGCCTGAGTGTATTGAGCATTTCATGAATATTTTCAATCTCCAATCTCATGTCCTTCAGTTGGGGGTGGGGGAGGTCTAATAATACTTTTTGTAAAACTTCTCTATTTTTACTGATCTCTTTTTATCCAAGTCTCCATTATTAGGTATTGGGATGCACTGAAGTAATTCTCTGTTTTTCTTCTTGGTTTTCACCTTTCTCCCATCTAAAAGTCTTTTTACTACACTTTTAAGGTTTTTATCAACTTTTTCTTTTTCAATGAATGTGTTTAATTTCTGCTCTCATGGTTCCCAGAGTTCACTTTTGCTCTCCAAATATCCCCCTTTTCTTGGATTGTCTCATCCCTTCTGAGTTTCTGTTTTCTGTTTATTTCAGTCTTTTCTTTCACGTTAGAGGCTTTTATGAAATGTCTGTTAATCCCGGGTAGTCTGCTAATCTCTGAGCGAGGCCGGGTGTCCTAACCGGAAGCTTTATATATGGGCCAGGCTGCTTACCACCGTGGTGACCAAGCAGACCCTGCACAGTTACCCTCACAATTCTGTTGCTCTCTTCCCTCAGGCCAGCCAGAATTCCTGGAGGGCTCCTCCAGTCCCTGGCTGTGATGGCAGCCCTTTGCCAGGATGCTGTCAGAGGGCACTTCACCCATTGCCCCTGTGCCCATGAGCAGAATCTGGTTCAACCTCTTCAGTCTTCTGTGGATATGGGGAGTCGCTTGGCTGAGTGGGATAAAAAGGGAGATATGAACAGGTTGCTGTGCCATTAAAAAAAGGAAGTTCAATCAGGGCTCATGCTTTCCTGTCACTGTGCGTTCCTGCCTTCAGAGTCTGGTGCTCATTTCCGAAGGGAGATATGAACAGGTTGCTGTGCCATTAAAAAAAAGGAAGTTCAAGCAGGGCTCATGCTTTCCTGTCACTGTGCATTCCTGCCTTCAGAGTCTGGTGCTCATTTCCAGAGCCCCCCTGGGCCTGCGTTTTATGTGGAGTTGTCTCCTTGAAGACCTAGGTGTCAGCTTTCTCTTGTCTGCTATTGTTTCCTCTCCTGTTCTGTTGATTCTTTAATGTTTGCTTTTTTATTCCTCATTGTCATTTTAATGGAATTTCAGGAAGAGAAAGAGATAAATGTGTTACACGAACGGCCATATTTAACCAGAAGTCATATTCTGTTCTCTTTTAAATCTCTCCTGCCAAGGATTATTCTAGTAGTAAGTAGTCGTCCCTCCTCAGTAGATTCTCACAATAGGATACAAATTGAATGTCAGAATCTCCGATTCCCTGGTTCGGTTATCTATTCCTGAGTAACACATGACCCTAAACATAGTGACTTAAAACAAACACAGTCATTTATTTGCTCATGATTCTGCAACTTGGGCCAGGCTCTCGATTCTGTTTCATATGACTTATGTTTCGTGTGATGGAGGCAGTTCTCCCGGGAGGGAGGGATACCGCTACCGAGAGGGTTCACCCTCATGACTGGCTGGAGAACGGATGCTTAGTGGGGCCACCAGACAGGGCTTCCATTCTTCTCCATGCGGCCTCCACATGTTTGCCTGGACTCCATAGAAGTGTGATTCTGTGAGGGAGAACCCATGACCATGCTCAGCAATAGGACAAGCTCTAGTGTGCAAGCACTTGGCTAGCCTCCGTTTTGCATCACACTTGCTAATGTCCCGTTGGCCAAAGAAAGTCACATGGCAAAGCTCAGACCGGATCTTGGAAGAAACTGCACTTTATAAGAGCATGGCTACTCATATAGGCACGGTTCATTGGGAGCCACGTACCCTCTGGAACGCTGGAATTCTGTGATCCTGTGCTTGTTTTCATTTGTGCAACTGACTTGTCCCAGTTTCTTTCTGAGACATCAGGGTGCCACTTTTTCCTTATAGTTTCACATGGTATAAACATTAAATAAGTATGTGTTAGATCATAGAAATATTGTAACATTGCCACTTAAAATGTTTCTGAATGGACTATAAAGACTTAAACCAGCGGTTCTCAACCTGTGGGTCACGACCCCTTTGGCGGTCGAACGACCCTTTCACAGGGGTCGCCTGAGACCATCCTGCATATCAGATATTTACATTACGATTCATAACAGTAGCAACATTACAGTTATGAAGTAGCAACGAAAATAATTTTATGGTTGGGTCACAACATGAGGAACTGTATTTAAAGGGCCAGAAGGTTGAGAACCACTGATTAAACTGTATATCTTACACATGGCTATACTGAATGTGTTTTTAGTTAGTGAAAGACATGGGGGGCTGGGGAATCACCCTATGCTGTTAAATTCCTAAGTCTACCTTTCAAGGGGATTAAGTATTGGCTTTTGCTTTAGGCTGCCAGAGGTTCCCTTTTTGTTCTTTTGGTTTAAAAAAAAGTTGAAAATTAGCCTCTTTAACACCTGCCCGGACTCCCAAAGAATAAAAATGGGTACTTTTTGAGATAACCAGAGAGTGCATTCCTTGGAAATTCCGAACATATATTTCTTGTTGCATGCTTTCAAGCTTGTCCACAACATTTCCTGCACGCAGCCAGACAGAAGTGGCTTAGCTTGTGCTGCGCGTCCTGTGAGTCTTGGTGTGAGAGTGACCGCTGTGCTCCTTTTGCACGCAGGGGTTCTCTACCTCCAGTATGGAGATGAAACCAAGCAGCTCAGGATGCCCAACGAAATCACAAGTGCAGACACGATCCGGGCTCTCTTCGTAAGTGCCTTCCCACAGCAGCTCACCATGAAAATGCTGGAGTCGCCCAGTGTCGCCATTTACATCAAAGACGAAAGCAGAAATGTCTATTATGAACTAAATGATGTAAGGTAAGTAGTCGTGCCGTGTGGGGTGTGTGCGTGTGTGTGTGTGTGTGTGTGTGTGTGTGTGTGTGTGTACCATATTGCGTTTAGCATTGCTACAGTTTGTATTGAGTCCTGCTTTCTTCGTGGCCCCGTGAAGAAAGCCTGCTCCTACCCGGCAGGCTTATCTCACCCAGGTGGGAATTCACCCGCTGGCTTTCCATCATTCACTTACAAAGAAGTGGTTTACAAAGGCAAGGGTGTCTAGACTTCTCCCACAGAGATCTTTGCATGTTACGTCTGAAAAGAACTTAGGAAACGATCCAGTCCACCAGGTATCTAAGAGCTGTGGAAACTGAGGCCCAGGCGGAGAGACCTGATCAAGGTCGTCAGAGTTGAAGACACTACCTCTGACGGGAACTTTCCCAACTTCTCAGCCGCTCTGCCCTCACAGACAAGCCTGAGGACATCTTAAGCAATGATCCCACTGAGTCATTCTTCACATGAGCCAGTCAGAATAAAAGCAGTGGGATCTGCTACTGTCCACAGGAAAAGAGGCTGAGCCGTATTCTCCCTTCCCAGTTGTTTCTTAAATAGTTGGGCCTTTACCAAAGGATCTCCCTCCAGATGGGCTTCTCCAGGGCGCCCAGTAGAATATACTCTAAAGTGAGGCTCCATGGACGCCTGCTACTGAGGCTCCACGGACGCCTGCTACTGCAGTTGATTAAAGCATCTTTATCGGCTGTGGTGGTGTTGTGTATAGAGCAGAAGAGACCCATCTAATCTGTCCCAGACAAACAGCCTGAGAAACAGGACTTAAATCAACACCCTTGAACAACAGTTTGAATTGCAGTTTGAATTGTTTAGGATAGCCTCTAAGCATTTTAGAAATTAAAAAATTATTTAGTGACTATTCCAGCCTTTTTATGTTATGGTACCAGACATTCAGATGCATAAAAGTTAATGGACTTACTTAAGATTACGCAGCCAGTTCATGGCTACACCTAATCAAAACCTGACTGTCCACATTCTTGGTCAAGAACTTTTTATTCCCTCAGAACGTTTATTCCCTGCTCAGCTCATCTGGGCCACAACTTGAGTTTCTGGGTACTTGCCCTGTGGGGAATAGCAGGCTGACCTGTTTCTTCATTATGGAATTAGTGGAAACCACTTTTTAAAAATGTGCCTTTAATGCATAATAAATGTAAACTAATAAATATCTAACAGTGATCGCAATGACATATTTAGGCAAGTGCCAAGTTGTATGAGCAATTGAGGGCTTTCAAAATTTGACACATGCCCTAAGGTAGAGGGTGCTGCATCCGTTGCATAACCTTCCTGCTTTAAAAAAAAACAAACCATGTTTAAATATTCATAGGTAACAGAAAATTCATGTTTGTTTTTTGAAATAAATTATTAACCAGGCTGTCACCAATAAAAGGAAATTTATAAAGCATAAACTTAAACATGAAGTAATCATGTTATGTTTAAAGAGTGTGTTTGCGGTAATATAATCCCATGTAGAGTTTTTACATGGACGAGACATTTTAGAACACTCCTCTTGAATTTCTGCATTTTGCAGTTAGAGGAATTGAGAGATATGGTAATTACAAATAAGCATGAAACTAGGCAAAGCCACTTTTGATTATGGAGCTCAAGACTGATGAGGTTATTATGAACAATTGGACCCACTGCCTCACAGCTCATGCAAAAATTTTTATATTACAACTAGAGGCCCGGGGATCAGGCCAAAACTGACTCTCCAACATCCTCGAAGGCCCGGGGATCAGGCCAAAACTGACTCTCCAACATCTCCAAGGCATCCCAGATTGTGAGAGGGCACAAGCCAGGCTGAGGGACCCCACCAGTGCATGATCGGGGCCGGGGAGGGACCACTGGAGGGTTCCAGGGTGTGTCCAGCCCATCTCGCCAGCCAGGCTGAGGGACCCCACCAGTGCATGATCAGGGCGGTGAGGGACCACTGGAGGGTTCCAGGGCATGTCCAGCCCATCTTGCCCAGCCCCTATTGGCTGGACCCCAGCAGCAAGCTAACCTACCGGTCGGAGCATCTGCCCCCTGGTGGTCATTGAGCATCGTAGTGACTGGTTGAATAGTCGGGGCCGGGGAGGGACCACTGGAGGGTTCCAGGGCATGTCCAGCCCATCTTGCCCAGCCCCTATTGGCTGGACCCCAGCAGCAAGCTAACCTACTGGTCAGAGCGTCTGCCCCCTGGTAGTCATTGCATGTCGTAGTGACTGGTTGAATAGTCCGACACTTAGCATATTAGGCTTTTATTATATAAGATATGGCCCAATATTCTAGAGCATTCCCCAAGTCTCAGAGTACTACTAATACTTCCTTTAAGCATTCTGAGGGAGTGTCATTTCATAGTCACAAAGAGGAAAGTGGGAGGGAAGACAAAAAGGAAAGGTCCCCCAACTTCCCAAATTAAGATGATCCTTTTTCAGGCAAATTCAAGCAAGTGCTTGAGAGAAGTGATCATTTCTAACATTGATAATTTTCAGTTAATATGTTTATATTTGCAAAAATGATGATCTTGTTTATCCTCATGCTGCAGTGTAAATAGCCTGGTTTTTTTAAATCTCATTTTTAAATGTTTAATTGGGAAGTCATTTGTCTAGATTTTACTTTTTAGTGTTTTGATTTACTTATAAAAATGGATCTAAAAATGTGGAGAAAATGTATATATATATCTATATATATAGATATAGATACAGATATCTCCATATCCTTTCCAAATAATTATTCTATTTCTTTGCTTTTATGCATAAAATGCTTCAAGTATATCTTATCTGAATGATCGAATAAATTCTCAACATTACTGTTATATAAAACCTCTTTCCCCTCCCAAAAAAAATGTACCATGTGGATTTTAAATGAAGACAATGGCTTTAATCTGAACCCAGAGACAAATTTCATTTTACATTCTTCAGTATTTTTTGAAGTGAGAATATATTTGTTACAAGTTTGGCTGTTTCATCATTGTGTTGGCTTCTCCATATTTTCCTTAGGGAAATGCCACAGAGAGTTCAGGTTCAAATGCTGTGTTGTAAATGTTGCCATGGTAAATGCAATCTGGGCCTTTGGTGTTGGTTCATCTTGGATGAACATGTTTCTAAATTAATTATAAACCAAGGTACTTTAAATACCTTTAGAATCACACCAGGTTTTTTTTTCGTGGCTCGAGTATGTTTTTCGGTTTCTCCACATCATTATTGTGACTTTTCCCCGAAGCTACAGGGTGAATTCCTTTAGTGAATCCCCACATTCTCACCTTCTGTGAACTCCCCCTTCAGAGTAACCTAGCCCCTTAATAACAAGAACTGCACACTCCCCCCTAAGCTGACTTCTAATGAGCTACTTGAAACCTGGAGCTATGGTGCAAGCTTGGGCTAGTCACCGCTTCAAAGCAATTACTGACGGGTATTTAAAAGAGGGAAGCAAGACTAGTCCAAGAATTCTCCACTCCGTTTAAAACAAAAACATAATCCAGTAATCCCAGTGATTGCGATCAGCCCACAAAACGTGTGGCTGCACCTGGAGGAAAGGAATGTGTCCTCCTGCACACATCGTCCCCCCTACCCCCATCCCCCCCACACTCCCTGCGCTGGCCCTGGAAGGAATCACCCTGCCGGCCAGGCTGAGAGGGCTTTGGGTGGCCCTTCTGCTGACGAAATCTGAATATGAAGGGAAAAGGACTTCGTAGACAACTCATATGGTCTTAAATAATGTTAAGGTAGGAACTGAGAAAAGGTGTGGGACTTCTGTTCTTTGCTGACTCCCCAGCTCTAAATGCTGGGTTCAGAAGGAGAGAAAGACAGGTGGAAGAATTGATCTGCAGTTATTCCTTCTCAATACCCTGTGCATCCACTCATTCAACTTGTATGTAGAAAAGTATTTTTTAAAACCCACTGTGAAAGAAAAAAAAAGGCATTGTAAAGATACTGGTTTTGATCTTTGTGGTACTTTTTTTTGGTCTGGGCTGTAAATAGATATTCTTTTCCTTGCTGAAACTGTTTGAAGGGGGAAAAGCATTTTTTGCTTGTGTGCATTCATGTGATAAGCAGAAAAATGGGTGTTTGGGTAAAGTAAGCAATTAAATATTTAAATATTAACCAAATCTCTTGGAACATGTTGTAGATATCAGAGCTTTACTGTTTCTTTAAGTGTTACCTTTCTTTGCTCACCATCTTAAAAGATGCCACCCTCTATCTATGGGTGGTAAACTACACAGAAAGAACAAAAGAGGGAAAAAAAGGAAAGAAAAACTGAAGTCATTTTTATTTTCCTTATTTATTTTTGCCTATTCTGTGGTAAAAGAACTTTTGTCTGGTTGCTTGTGGACAACAGCTGGATTGTCTGCTGCTGTCTTTTACCTGATTCTTATGGGCAGACAAAGAAAATGGCCAAAGTAAGGCTCCTTTCATCTGCCATAGTTATTGATGTTTTTTATTCCAGGAACATTCAGGACAGATCGCTCCTCAAAGTGTACAACAAGGATCCTGCACATGCATTCAATCACACGCCAAAAACTGTGAACGGAGACATGAGGGTAAGTGTTCCTGTTCTATTTTTAATTTTATTTGGTGGGTTAAACCATCTCTTCTTCTGGTATGTGCTCCTGATGAAATCACACCCCACCACCAGGTTTTGGGTGTTCTCACCACTCATTTGGTCTGACGACTCATTTGCTTTCTTAGTAGAGAAATATTTTCTGGTCATTTGGGGCAAAGGGACTGAAACAGGGCCTCACACAGACTCATTTCTCTTAGGCCTGGAGTTTAGTTATGTCCTCACCCCAAGAGGATCCTGAAAAATCTTTACATAAATGGGTTCTTGATCCATAGTACCTTAACTTACTCAGAGGAACTCTTTCTATTTTTCTCCAATTAAAATAAAGCTAGCATACAAACAGCAATGAAAAAGAATACCCCATAAATAATCAAGTGTAAAATATTTTAATGTTCTTACGTCAGCTATTCCAAGTCTTAGCACGCTAATTAAATTATTCACCTTCTAATTCAGGACTGTTTGCTGTTGCTGTATATTAAATATTATCAAATCTTATCTGAATTGATTGAGGGCATAGTACGAAAAACTACATGGTTTGGGAGCTAAAATTCTTTCCATTTAGATCATCTCAGATTATCCAAACATTCACAGCACACAGAGGTATTTTGGAGGGGAAAAAAGAGCAGAGAAACTGAAAAGGCAGATTTTCAAACCACATTAATGCAGGTCCACTAGAAAGGGATTGTGTTTCTAACAATAGTGTTACATCTCTCTGAAAGAAAATGGGAGGAAAAAAGAAAGATTAACTTCTCCCACTGTACCTCCTTCCTCCTCCCGCCCCCACACTCAAATTTAGAAGATGCTGTGCTATTATATATCATCTTTTCTGAGGATTAGCACTCTGCTGGAATCTGGAGTTTAACTAGAAAAAAAGGAAATGAACTGGTTTTATTGCCAGAGAAAGCCAGGCACCGTCTCCTAGCGCCGGAGAGGAGTGCCTGAGGTGAAGCATCCCCACTTCCTACAGCGTTTTGTTTTCTGCCGCAGCCATAAGAATTACCACACAGTCAGTGGCTTCAACGACCCAGACTTACTATGTTACAGTCCTATAGGTCAGACATCCAGTATGGGTGGACTCAAATCTAGGGGTCATCAGCGGGATGTTGGCTTTTCTTTCCTTTTATTCTCAGTTTTTAGGCGCCACCCACATTCCTCAGCTTGCAGCCCTCGTCCTCCATTGTCAAATCCAGTGAAATAGCATCTCTCTGGCCTGGTACCATCATCACACCTCTAACCCTGGTCCCTTGTGATCACATGGAACCTACCTGATACCCCAGAATAGTCTCCCTACTTTAAAGTCACAGGTTCCAGGGTTGAGGATGTAGACATCATTGTTCTGTCTACCACACAGGGTATGTGAGTTTAGGACCAAGAGGCCAGGAGGTCCAATAGGAAGTGCTGGGAGGATTTCTAGGTAACTCTGGCCTGGAATATGAGTGATGACATTGTGGTGACATCAGAACCTACACTTCTGGAGGAAGAGGCCTCTCACGTACTCAACTGCTGCTTTTTTTTATGTCAGAAATGGTGTGTGATTTGAAGTGAAGGCCGTGTGGCTACTTCAGACCATCTAGGATTTTGAGGTTTATTTTTAGCCAGTTCCACTCTAAACGTAAACCAGCACCAGGTGAAGACAGATCGAGGCCTGCCAACCAGGCTGCGTGGACTGAATATCACAAAACCCTTTGCCTTTTATTGCTTCGTTATTCTCTTTCTCGGTGACATTTTTAGGAATCTTTTCTCCCTGGGAAATCTGTGTGTTTGATATGTCTAGCCTTTGAACTGGAGTTTCATGGGGTTCAGCTTTCTGTTTTCATTACATAGAGCCCGCTCAGCGGTCCCAGAATCGCCTCTGAAAATCTTGTTTATGGCTGGGGAGGACACTTGTTTTAACTCTTAAGCAGATGTGGTACCTGCATAAGGGGCCATCCGAGAGCATGAGGAGAATCAAATAGTAACCATATGGACAAAGCCTATTAGAATTCAGAACTTATCGGTGAAGTTGTCCTGTTTTTTACTTTAAGATGAGACCCTAGCGATCACTTTCTGAGTTGCCCACAGCGTACTTTCGACAGTAATTTTTTGTGTGAGAAAAATCAACTGTTGTCCCCAGCTGAGGAGACAACAAATGTTCACCATCCAACCCCGTGAAAAGCTTTTAGGTTTCAGTGAAGATGAGTTAGAAATGAGAAACAGAACGCAGTTTAAAAACCAACTAGGTGTGAGTGTGCCTGCAGTTTGCCACGTGGTCTCATCGCAGATTCCAGAAATTAAAAGACATGGAATTCCTTCAGCCTCACCTCTTGGCTCGAGAGGTTGGAATTCTCTCTCCTTCCTGATGAATGTAACTGCCTTTCCATGAAAGGAAAGAAAGCTTTGTTGAGCCCTGTCTGGAGCGCAGCTGCATAGCCCCATGGTTCGTGGTGAAGAACAGAAACAGAGAACAGAGCAAGGATGAATTGTTGTAGACTAAACTGAGCTGCACGGTGGGTGGAGAGGAGCTCCATCCTCCCCTATGTCTGCAATGTGCGCGTGGCAGCCCTGCCCCGCCTGTCACTCACCTTCCCTCAGCAGCCTCCAGAGGCAGCGGGGATGGTCCTCCAGCTGCCCGCTCGTTACCAATGCACGTGCGTGTCATGAAAAACATTGGATGGACCATGCAGAGGCGCCACACCAGCAGTGCCAGAACTTTGCAGGGGCCTCTGAAACTCCCCTTGCACAATGAATTGAGTATCTTGCCTGTGAAAGAAAGGATGTAAGAGTCTGGGTCTAACACAGTCCGTGCTCCAGAGCAGGGCTCTGATGGTAGCGGTGTAACTCAGGAAGCACGCTAGACTAAAGCATTCGCTCTGGGGTGGTGAGCGCGCACGGCATATGTGCTTGGTGAGGAGGACGTGTCTCGTTTTTCACTCTGCACTCGCTGCGCATTTTTGAGGCTGGCCTATTTCATGAGACTTGTGGTTCTCTGCTGGAATGAGCGCACCCGGCTCCTGAATGTTTCCGTCCCTATTTTGTTACATTAAATAGTAGCTTTGATAATTCAGTTCCCATGGTACTGTAGTCACCATGTGGAACAGGCCCTTCTGCAAAAAATTATATGTGTTCTCATGGGTTTGTAATTCACAAATGTACAACTCGAAGAGGAGCCATCCCGTTCCGTGGCTCTCAACGGGAACCACCAGCGACGTCCCGCCCACCAAGCCAGTGGCTTTGTCAGTCTTCGGGCTTTTCCACCTTCTCAGGCACTTTGAGGTTACTTCCCGACATTCACTTTGCTCCCTCTTGTATGTCCTTAATTTTTCCTTGTGTATAGATAGTTCCCAGATTTGCATTTAGAGCACAATCCCCAGATCAGCCCTGCATCTTAAATTAGTTCCTAACACCCGGTTCAGCCGCTGCCTCCCAGACCTCTTCTATTTGCGCTCTGCATTTGACACCAATGCGCAGTCTCCTTAGAAACCTGGGTTTCCATTACACTGTAGCCATTGCTAAATCCCAGCCGACATTCAGACACACTTCTTTTATTCACTAACTATTTTTCTTCCTCTTGCCCTCTATGGTCTTCAGTGTGTTCAGGCAGACTTCCAGTTTGTGTGTTTTTTAATTTGCTATTTTTTTATCTTCACCTTTTTTACTTGTGACTTTTATCTTACTACTGATTTAATCATGCCAAAGTGGACAATCCTTGAAACTATAGCCCTGGCTCTGCCATTTCTTAAGAGTTCAAGACCCAAATGGTCAATTTCCAAGTGGTTGTCTCTACATGGATAGTCTTCCAATGTTTCCAGTGTATCCTGTTGTTGAAGACACACGCATACAAAAGTCATAATCTTTTCTTTTTTCTTCCAAGCTATTTCCTCCTGTTTTTCTATCTTTGTGAAAGAAGGTGTGTGTGTGTGTGTGTGTGTGTACACATATATGTGTGTTTTGAGGGTTGGGGAGAAGAGATTTAAAAAGTTGACTTATCAGTGAGTCTTTAATTGCCTAACTCCTGTTTCTCAGCACATCCTACGGTCACCAGAACCATCCCGCTGTGCAAGGCCTCTGACAGATGACCCTTTGGCCAGTGCCTGCACTGCTACTCTTACAATAGCTAACTTTTTTGAGCATTTACTACCCACTTTTCAGGGTAATTTTATTTAATTGCCGTGTCACATATAGAAATTTTTTGATATTTGCAACCATAGTAAAACAAAGACATATTTTTGATATTTATTTTATATATTTAAATGCCATTTAACAAAGAAAAATCAACCAAAAAAATGAGTTCGTGTGTCATCTCTGACATGCGTGTCATAGGTTCGCCATCACTGGCCTAACTCCTGTTTCTCAGCACATCCTACTGTCACCAGAACCATTCCGCTGTGCAAGGCCACTGACAGATGACCCTTTGGCCAGTGCCTGCACTGCTACTCTTACAATAGCTAACTTTTTTGAGCATTTACTACCCACTTTTCAGGGTAATTTTATTTAATCTTCAAGACAACCTTTTGAGGCAGGTATTGCCTCATGTTTATAACTCGGGAGACATTTGCTCAGGTATGCTAAGAACTGTGCCCAAGGCCACACAGCTAGAGCAGGCGGAGCTGAGAAGGGAACCCAGGCCTCTGCACTCCACGTTCCAGGCTGTTAGCAACACGGCCTTCCTGCTGGAGGTGCAGCGTTCACTGTTTTTCTATCAGCAACGGCCTTTAACCAACTCTTCCTCCTCCACTCCAACAACTGCTTCTGAAGTCATCTCCCTAAGCCCAACTTCCCATTGTGCAAAGAATAGCACAGGCCAGTGATCAGTATCCTCTCCGCCCCGACACCCAGCAAAGCTGCCTCACAGTTCTTGCTCCAAGTGTATGAAATGCACTCTCCCACCGCACATGCCTGCCTTTCGAAAGTCCATGCAGCTTACTACGGGCCAGTTGCCTGATGCCAGTGACAGAATGCTGGCATGAAAAAAAATGGTGGGAGGGGACACTATTGTGTCTC